GTATAATATCAAAGTGTTACATGATGATGAGCCAAACATAGTGGTGTACACCTGTAATCCCTCACTGAGGAAGGCTGAGGCAGGAGAACCACAAGTCCAAGGCCCATTTAGGCAACTTAGTGAGACCCTGTTTCAAGATAAAAAATAAAGGACTGATATATCACTCAATAGTAAAGCATTCCTGGGTTCAATCTCTAATAAAAGAAAAAAAATTATTATGATGAATGCCATAGTAGAGCGCGCAAAACACTAAGGGACCTATCATTTGTGACAATGTGGATGGGAATTGGAAATTGTAACGTTAAGTGAAATAAGCCAGGCACAGGAAGACACACATGCTAGTCATATTCATACATGAGCTCTAAAACGTTGATCTCATAGAAGTTTGAGAGCAGAATGGTGGTTACCAGAGGGTGGGGAGGGGGAGAGGAAGGAAAAGTTGATCAGTGGGTACTAAGTTACAGTCAGAAGCAGGAAGTCTTCTGGTGCACTACTGCAGAGCAGGTGAGTACAGCTAATGATGAAGTACTTACACTTCAAAAAACTAGAAGGCTGGCAATGTATCTACCTTAGTGATAGAGTGCCTGCCTAAAATACGTGAAGCTCTGGTTTTAAACAATCCACCACAAAAATAGGAAGAGGAGAGGGAGAAGGAGGGGAAGGGAAAAAAGGAAGAGCCAGGTATGGTGGCACTTGGGAGGCCAAGGCATGAGGATCAGAGAGTTCAAGGCCCACCAGGGCTACTTGAGATACCATGCCAGCCTGAACTACATAGTGTGACCCTGTCTCAAAAGAAAAAAAAAAAAAAGTACCTGTATTTTTACATGTGTGGATATCTGTATGTGGATATATGTATATATGTGTGTATACATGCAAATATCAAACCACTACATGGCAGTCCACTAATATGTACAATTTTATGATTTTATGAATCAGTTAAACTTTTAAAAATGGCAAAATAGAAGACCTTGGCAACTCACTCAGGACTCCTTCTGTCTTTCTCTGAGATAGAAGCTTTCTTTAAATATATTTTGCTCTTAAAAATAAATATATTCTGCTCTTAAAAATAATTTTGCTTTTTTTTTTTTTAACTTTTTATCGGTACCAGGGATCGAACTCACGACCGCCTGCTTGCAAGGCAGGTGCTTATGCCTTTGAGCTAAATCCCCAGCCCCTTTAAAAATAATTTTAAAAAAGGAAAAATATTAAAGGAGCTGTGTTCACAGGGAAGGGATGACTTCCCTGTTAATTGAGATTTTGTCAAGTGGAGTCAAAGGAAAAATAGCATTCTATACAAAAGAGAATTTGTGCAGAAAAAACTAGTATAGGCAGCACAGGTAATATATAGTAAGATACAAACATCATGCTAAGAAACCTGATAGGGAAGAGGGACCCAATTTGTACTGAGAAAACTGAAGGAAAAGGGAGGGGGAGGCCAGAGGCCAAAGACTAGTTTTCAGGTACTGGTGGTTGTAACCCAGTGAAATCAGTTTAGTGCTGACATCATGAATTCCTACTTAAAATGAATTCAAACAGAATAGAAAATGTTAGAGATTATCTGACACTATAAAAATGTGAAGATAATTTTTTATAAAACTTTTGAATCAAACATATGTGTGTGTTTCTGGGTCATGAAGTAAAGTGCATTTGTTATTACAGCTGATGGTCAAAGACTTTCACTATGTGACTGGTGACTAAAGGAGAACTTTCAGCTTTCTGGTGTGAAGGGCTGAATGCATTCACCATGTCAATGGCCAAGATAAAGAAAAGAAGAAGAAGATAGCTACTTTTATCAAGTCTATGTAGGGATGTCGGATAAGTCAGACAGCAGGCTCTCTCAGCATTTTTTCAGCAGTCACAGTCAATATTATTCGGCAAAGACAATGGACACATAGTCACTGCAGCTGCAAGCTCACATGAACAGATAACTGATAAGGATCTTATAGGAACGTGAGGGGGTCCTAGTCCTAAATCTCAATTCACAAAAAACTATGAAACCAGAACAAGCAGACAGGATAAGTGAAACAACATTTCCTCTAGGGAACTAACAAGATATGAGGAATCCTCTCCCTATTGTAAGAACCACGGGGCTGGGGATTTAGCTCAGCAGCATACACGTCTGCCTTGCAAGTGTGTGGTCATGAGTTTAATCCCTGGTACCGATTTAAAAAAAAAAAAAATCTAAAGAGAGAACACAGAACCATCACCCTTGAGAATCTGCAAGCATTCTAGAAAACTTGCCACCAGAGTATCTTTATTTAGGCATTTTGGTTTTGTTTCAGGGGAGTCTTTCTATTTTCATTACTGATTTCTAAGCCTCTCCACTTTTCCCTCACTGTCCACCTCCAAAAGATACTTCAGTTCCTATTATTTCTAGACAATCAGTGTCAAGTGCTACAATTTCCAATCTGCCTTTCCCTCAGTTACTCTCCTGGAGCTCCAGGTTAAGAGAACAGGGCTAGAAGAATGTAACTTCTCACAGACTTGGGGTGGCTCCATCAAGTCTCCTATCTCCTGTCCTTTAGAAGAAAGTTGTCTTCAGTTCTTGGAACAACACAATTGGGCTCTAAACTACTGAACTACTCTTCTGATGACCCTTCTACTATATTCCTTAGCAGACCTGCCCCAGACTCTTCAGACAAGTGGCTTCCCTCAAACACTCCTTTGCTTCTGGTATTCATTCTCCCTCTCTCCCTTTCCCTCTTACCGGGAATTGAACTCAGGATGGGCTTGCCAAGCAAGTGATGAGCTGTATCCCTGGTTCTCTAAATTAAAATGCTCTCCTTTTCTCTAACAGAAATTCTATTTAACCTTCATGTTACCTTTACCACAATCGCTTTCTCTTGATGCCAGGGTTTAAACCCAGAGCAGCATGCGTGCTGAGCAAACACTCTACCACTGAGCTGTACCCCAGTCCTCAGTCATTCTTTATCTAATGTACCCCTCACTCACTGCCACCAAATCTGGATTTAGTCACACCTCCTTGTATTTGTATAGCATCTTCTTGTGTCCTGTGCATAGTATTACATTATCATCCATTACAGGCAATTGTACCTTATACTCATTTTTCACTAAAGTTCCTTTAAGGGACAGACCATGCTATAGCCTTCTTTTCAACAAATTATGGTCCTGAACATATAGATTATCACCAATCATAGTTAGTTAATTCTAATCCACTTTATTGAATTTAGTATGTGTATGTGTGTATGTGTGTGTGTGTGCGCGTGTGCGTGCGTGCGCACCAGGAATTGAACTCAGGATCTTGTGCTTGCCAGTCAGGCGCTTATGTTTCTGAGCTATATCCCCAGCTTGCTAATTCTAATCAAAAAGCTACTGATTCATTCCACCTAAACCAGAAGAAATAATACTAAGAGCAAGAAAGAAGATGGAGAGACAGCAAGTATACATTTGCAGCAGACAGCCTCTGTCTCCCGTATCTTAATGGTAGTTGTACACCCTACCCCTCTGAGAAATTTAACCAACCTCAGCAAGGAAAGCTCAGTAGGCATAGTTTGGAAACTTTAAAAAACTATAACTAGTTTCAAGGTTCTCCCAGCTGCTACTAGTCAGGTGTTGACCTTGGGATGTGGTCACAGGGATTATATATTTTATTTTGCCATCCACTCCCTCTACCACTCTGATACTTCTAGCTATATAGGCAATAAAGAGTCTTTCATTCAGGCTCTGAATATTATCTTTGAGCTCCTCTGGGAACAGCTTAGCCTTCTCTCACCCTCCCACCTTTCCAGTAAGTAATTCTCCAGTGCCACCTCTGCAGTACTCAGCTTTTGAAAAAGTAGTTTTCCCTTCATTAGACCCAGCTTCTCTCCCCTCACCCTCTCCTTAGCTCTCACCACAAAGACCAAAAGCACACTGCCTGCCTTCTCAACTGCCTAACAGCCATGGCATGTTTCAAAGAGCTAAGAGGTGGAACTAAGAAGTCTGTTGCCTTGCTCTGTGATCATATTAAGCATCCCTTACATTTAGTATAGAACTTAGCCATCCCTCTTTATAACTGATTATTTTATGAGTCTTATCTCCCCCACTACACAGAGAACTATTCCTAGCTCACAGCCAAGTGTACACTCAAAAAACTACCAGCTTAGGGAAAAAAAAAAAACAAAAAACATAAAATAAACTGCCACCTTAGGCTCCTTCACCAAACTCGGTGACGATGTAAGTTTAGAAGAAACACTTCAGGGTGGTCAAAACCATAAGGTCTTTATATAGTAGTCCTGTGATGCAAGGCTCAGCTGAAAGCTCTCAAACAAGAGTCCTTTTGATAGAATGGTCATTCCCTACGTTCCTCAGATAGTCACTATGGTCAAAGTAGTAAACTCAATTCTCCAGAATTTACTTTCCAGATCTGTCAACTCAAAAAAATACGTTCCCCAGCCCCTACTTCAACGACTCCTATATCCCTCTGACCTTTAATGCTGCATAACAGTAGATGAAAAATTGATTTTTTTTGGCTACTTATTTCACAGCTGAAGAAAAATATACTGTTTAAGGTGTTAAATATTTTTACATGCAGGAAACTGGCATCAATCTAACCTGCACACACATTTTAGAGGTAAGGACGTAAATGTCAGTGCTATAATTTGTTATAGGTTTCTGATGACCAGCAATGAAAATGACCACAGATTCTCACAATTCAAACCACTTTTACGTAAATGTGAACTTTCCTAAAACAGCCAAGGGACAGAACTTTCCATCCAAGCTCAGAGTCTCTGAGAGATACTGATAGCATTGTTCACAGGGTCAGATGTCCTTTGAAAAACCCCCTACAAATATTAGTTTCTTTCTGGGCCTGTGTTTTGACCTTTAATAAAAATGTGCTTCAAGACACCAGTTACTAACATGAAAGGAGCAGTTTTTTATACCTGAACAACTGCCATTTCATATGATCAGCTCTGCAGAAGGCTATACCATAAAAGTCAACAGGACTAAACAAAACAAAATAAAACAAAAACAGTAGTGATTTCACTTAAATTACTTACCAGACGTGAAGTAGGGTTATAAGAAACCATGAATTGAATGTATCTGGCATTTGACACCCTAAAAAATAACAATAAAATATAAATAAGTGAAATTTAGAGGAAGCCTACTGACTATATTTTAAATACTGATAAGAATGTGTCCAACTAAAAAACATGGCAATATCACATTTATTATGCTTTCACAGAGAAGAACAATGGAAACATATAGAAGCCCATGGAATGAAACAAAACTGAACACAGTCAAACAATCAGCCTTCTGGTTTCTATCCTGTCAGCACCTTGCTGTGCGGCCAATCGCTTTTCCCTCTGAATCTCAGTTTCCTCATTATGCATAATGCAGCCTAGACGATTTGCAGGGTTCTAGTTCTAGTTTTTCTAGTCTTCTTTTCCTACTTCTTCCTTTGAGATAATTCAATGTGGTATGGTCAGAGATATGTTGAACAATTTGTTCAAATGAGCTGGAGAAATAAATGGGGCTCCTGTAAGCTGCCACTGAGTAAGAAAGCAGATTATATTAATGAAGACTGCTCACGGTGATGAAATTTTGCAGGGCTTCTTTCTCCTTGGTTTCAGATTCCACAAATCAGGTCTGTGCCTCTTAATTTTCAGAACTCTTAAGAAATGCCTCTGCTTGGATAAGGGAACCCCCACTGAACACATATGGACAAGGAGAAAGTTAGAGCAAAAGGATGATGACAAAACCAAATCCATGGGAAAGTTGGGCTTTTATGGTAAAATTTGTCCTGTGGGGCAACGACTCTAGGAAGAGGTGACATCTTCTGCCTTTCAGCAGTTGGTGAGTTACACAGTTAGTAGGTAATAACAAAGAGGGGTCACTAGGAGATGAAATGTAAGGCAGGACATTGTGAGGCATACTAACAATCACCAATACTAACAGGGAGCTGTAATTCATTGTGGGTTATTTACCTAGACTTTACAATAGGAGTTTCACATGCATTATTTCAATCAATCCTTATAACAAACTGATACAGTATTGATATTATCTCCATTTGACAGGTGAGAAAATTGACTCTTACAAAGATCAAGACTTTTGCTGAAGATCATATAGCCATGAAACAAGATACTTAGTATCACATTCTGATCTGTTTGATTCCAAACACTATCTTCTTAATCACTACCCTAACTACTTCATTAATACTGAGACTGGAAACCAACACTCAGAAGGACTCACAGTACAATGTTAATACATCTTTTCATTTAACCTTCATTTTAACCCTGAGGGAAACAAAACCTTCATTTTAATTTTTTTGCTGTTGGTTTTTTGAGACAGGGTCTCACTATGTAATTCAGGCTGTCCTGAACTATGCAGCCTAGGCTGGCCTCAAACTTGAAGTGATTCTCCAACCTTCTCTTACCTCAGCCTCCCGAGTCCTAGGATTACAGACGTGCACCACTCAAACCTGGTTATAAGCCTCATTTTAGAAATAAGGAAATGCACTCACAAATTCTAGCCAAGTGTTGTGGTGTATGCCTACAATCCCAAGTAACTGAGAAGTAGAGACAAGATGATGGCAAGTTTGAAACCAACCTGGGTAATTTAACAAGATTCTGTCTTAAAGTAAAATAAAAAAGAGGGCTGGGGACATAGCTTAGCACTAGAGCACTTCCTAGCATGCATGAGGAAGGCTGCACCCCTCAATACTGAGCAGAGAGTAGGGGAAAGGGCTAAGTAACCTGTGAGCAGTCACAATATTAATAAGCTAGTGGCAAAGCTTGGGCTGAATCCAGATCTGTTACAAAGTGACAGTAAAGTACTCTAGTGAGCCTACTGGGAGGTGCCCAGCAGCTGTCAAGTGGACTTCTGCTCCAAATCCAGCAGGAGGGAGTGAAGGTTGGCCAGGACAGCCATAGAGCTATTAAGACACACGCCATCTGACAGAGGGCCAACTGCCCTCCACCTAGAACAAGAATAGCCTTGAGAAACTCCAAAACCTGGATCTGAAGTTGGGTCTTTTATTGGATGCTAGAACAAAACATTAAAAAGAAAAGTTTTCTTGGAAGTCTGTCTTTCAATCTGGAAAATGAAATTTGGCTACTTCTAAAGGACAATCTGTTCAACTGCTACCTCTACATCAAAGCTTCTCAGCAGCCTCCAGAAGCCTGTCCAGTTTTCTCAGAGTGGGAATCAGTTCTTGGGCTGGAGAGCACAGACAGACAGACAGGCCAGTAGTTGGCCCTGGGTCACAATTTTCCCTTCGAGGGGTCAGCTCAGGGCTGAGAACGAGAAAAAAGCTGGCATATGCCTGAGTCTCTGTACCATTGGGGTTAAAACAGAAACCCACAGAGTAAAGCTCTAAAAAATAAAAGCCATGAATGTTGACTATAAGCAACATAAAAATATAGCATCTTTAACTCAATGAAATGTGTTTACATCCTTGAGAGTTAAAACCTGTAACAGTCTTTGCCTTGATCATGGCTGATGAGCATATTTTAACACAGGGCTTGGTTGCCTGATTCAAAGCCCTTACTCTACCCTTACTTGCTATGTGACTGAGCACAGTCACTAAGCCTCTCTCAGTGCCTTGGTATTCTTCTCTGTATAAATGGGGAGAACAAGATAATCTGCCTTACATAATTTCTGTGAAGATTCAACAAGATAAGGCCTAGAAAATGTTTAGCAAAATGGCTAGTATTTAATAGGTACTGAACAAGTACTCATAATTGTCTTTCAGTGAATTATTTAAATATTAGGGTTTAAAGGATTTTTTAAAAACTCACTAATTGGCCAGATGTAGCAGTGCACACCTATAATCCAATCCTCAGGAAACTGAGGCAAGAGAATTGCCACAAGTTCAAGACTAGCCTAGGCCACATAATGAATTCCAGGGCAGCTTAAACTACAAAGCAAAACCCTATCTCGAAACAAAAAACAAACAAACAAAACTTTTCTATTTAAGACTGTATCAGTAAAGCAACTGAGGTGAACTTCAACCCACTTGATGCAGAATTTACTTATTAAGGATCTTCTTCTCCAAGGTAAGTAATTAGTTCCTTAGAGGCCAAAAACAAAATAGGCTACCAAATAGTCTGGAATTAAATGCAAGCTCTACTGACTGGCCACCTCTGCTCTAAGCACTCTTCATAGAACTGATCTCCAAAAGAGCTGTCAAGAATCCGTATCACACTCAGCAGCACACTTGTTACCACAGATGAGGGACATCGTCAGCATATAGTAGAAACAGCAGTAGCAATTGACGTTTCTTACCACTCCAAACCCCCGATATGTAGCCCTCTAGATCTAAATCTTGAAACACTTTGGCTCTGAGATGACAGAGTCTATAATTATGGCATTTTATGGGAGACTGTTGAAAAGCTTAGTAGGCCCAATACACTATGCATAAACAACTCACATTCAATCTTCAAGAAATGGCACCAGCTTCAGTTTTGCTGGGGAAGGATGACACTGGACAGCCTCAAAGGCTCTCTATCCTCAGGACTCTAAAAGCCCTACAATATCGAATACCCAAGTGAGCAATGGCCACTTTTAAAGGTGTGGTCTTGGGAAGGAATATACATTTGCTTCTCTTATTCCAAACCTATCTGACCTATTCAATTAGATTCTAAGCCAGAAGAAAATTAGTTTCACTATTTTAATAGGTTTTTAAAATATTTTGCCTCCACACAGTACTTTCCAAATTTTATCCCTTTTTATTCACAAGGCACACTTTGGAACGACTCTGGTTTGATTTTAAAATTTATTCCACCCACAAATGACAAAGATGAACCATAAGGGAACATAATGTAACTGAATATGGGACAGGTCAATTTATTAGGCAATTGTCTATTTCTTAGAATATCTAAAGCATGATAACACTAAAAAATCTACTTCTACCTTAAGGTATATATATATTGAAAGACAAAACTAGGACAAAGTTTACTGAGACACACACTACGTACAAACATCAGTTTATGATACTAATATGACATCTCACAGAGGTAGTTTTCATTTAAACATAATAAAGCACAAAAATACTAAGATAAATTAAAATGTTTACTTCACAGTTATTTTCATTCACACAAGCAGTATGTTTAAATGGGAAAACCCCCGAATTTTAAGCCAGACAACACAGGTGCAAGGCTTGGCTAAGCAATCTTAGGCAAGTGACTTAGCTTCTTTAAGTCTCAACTGTTTCTGAAAACAAAACAAGAATAAACAATACAAGCTCTTTCAGGCATACCCCAAGATTTTAAATTCCTAAATGAAATAAATGTAAAAGCATACTACTGCATATAAATGTGAGTCATTAGTATATAATGAGTACAACTTTCATAAACTTTTAACTTTGTAGTTTGCAAGAGGCTATGAATTAAAACATGACATATTAAATATGTAATAACAGTCTTACAATTTGACACTATAATATTAACCCAAAAACTTTCAATAATCAGGAGCTGGCTAAGACAAGGATAGCTACTAAAAATTCTTTCAAAATAATTATAATAAATGTAAGTAGGGTAAACATTTTATTATGTACAAATAAAAAATTTAAAAGTAATTATAATACATTTCTGAATTATTTGTTGAATCAAATACTAAAAGGATATCTGAGAGTGAACACAAGCACCTTTGATCCCCAGTACTGATTAAAAAAAAATCGTATAAATACACGAGTCCAAAAAGTCACTTAAATATAGCTTTTAATATTAATAATTTCTGAATCATGTACAGAAGTATATTTTCTTCCTGTAGATTAGTTTCTCCTAAAATAAGTAATTGCTAGAGTTTACAAAAACAGAAAAATTTTCTTTCCTGCTTATAAACAATAGAAAATGAGCAATAAGTTAAAATTTCTAATATCAACTTTCCAAAACAGTGAAATGAGCAAAAACACTTGTATTTTATTCTTTCTTTTGTCTTTTGATACTGAGGGTTGAACTCACAACCCTGTACTTGCCAGGCAGGCACCTAAGCCACTGAGCTAAACCCCTGGCTCTGTATTTTATTCTTAAAAACAAAAAGTTATTAAGTAAACTGAATTTCTTTCTTCACTATTAACATAATTATGTGTAAATATTTGTTGTTGGAGAAAAAATTCAGGTGCATATACTCGTTCTATGTTTGTTGCTTTGAGGATACGACTGATACCACAGAAGTATACAGCATCTATTTCCTACTACAAAGTGTTATCATAATTTATGGTAAATACTTAAAATTTATTATAGTAGAAGACATATTACCACTAATCTTCAAAATACTTCCTCTAGCCAGGAATATAGCTCAGCAGCATACGCACCTGCCTGGCAAGCACCAAATCATGAGTTCGATCCCTGGTACCAAAATACTTTGCCTTACTTTGAACACACTGATCCCATCATTCTTGCCTCTCTGTGAAGCAATTCTGGAAGTCCTCTTTCATGAGTGATAAAAAAAATATGGTCAATACTGCTGTTAAGAGCCATGCAACTAAAAGTTAGGCTTATAAAACATTACAGCATATCCTCATTCAACTTACTAACTGGATCTGATACTGTAAGACTTCTGACTCTTCCCCAAAGGCAAAGTGGCCATGAAAGGTTATTGTTTTGAATAGATTTAGTCATCAAGGTACCCACAACAATGCACCTAAAGACATTCAGGAAAGAAGACTTTCAGAACTGCCTTAGAAAGGGAAAGAATGATGGGATATGTGCACTCAAAATGAGGGAAGTATTTTGAGGGTGATTAATGGCAATATGTCTTTTGTCATTATAAAAATTTTTTAAAATTTAAACATTCACTGTATTTTTTCAATCATACCTAATAAACTGTGTCACTGAAAATGGTTTAAATTTTCTCAATAGTTTTACATGTACTTGCTTTAATTCACTTTGTTAATAATTACATCAAAATGAATATTATATTGATAGTTTACTGCTAGTGATGATCTAACCCAACAAAACCTTCTGAAAGGCAATTTATCAATGGGCTACAAATAGTAAAATTACACAAGCCTTTAATCATTGACCCTAATAGAAAGAAGAAAAATCATGAAGCTTATTTCAAGATTAACTAAGCAATTAAGAACCAAAAACAAAGGAGGACTGATTGGCAAAAAGACTAGGTAAAAATGCTAAGTAAAACAGATACATATCCAAGTTCTTTCACATAAAAGATAGATGTGCATAAGGCCAAAGAAAATGTCAAAGTACTACACAAATGTTTTCAAACTTGTTAAAATTGTTGGTTTTCTTTTTTTTTTTAGGGAGGGACTTGCTATGTAGCTCAGACTGGCCTCAAATTCATGGTGATCCCCTTGCCTCCGCCTCTTGAGTGCTATGATTACAGGTGTGTGCCACCACACCAGGCTAAAATGTTTTATTTCTAGATTCCTTTTGTTTTTGTATTAAAGAAGAAAAACATACTTTATATACTTTGTACAGGAAAAACTGTGACTCGTGACTTAAAAAAAAATGTTTAAAGCGAGGTGAGTGGTGCATGCCTACACTTCGTGCCTTCAGAAGACTGAGGGAGGAAAATCTTGAGTTCAAGGCCAGTCTAGACTACACAGGAGACCTTGCTTCAAAAACAAAGCAAGGGGCTGGGGATTTAGCTCAGCGGCATAAGCACCTGCCTTGTAAGCAGGCAGTCGTGAGTTCGATCTCCGGTACCGATAAAAAGGAAAAAAAGACAAAAAAAAAAAAAAAAAAAAACACCCCAAAAACAAAGCAAAAGTAATTTATCTTATTAAAATATTACCATAAAGATGAAAAGTAGATAGTTGTCTTTTTCAAAACTATCAAATAGTAACTTACTTAGAAAGAATTCCTCGAAGTCAGTTTTCTCCACACAGTTAGTGTACATGCGCAAGGCTGCAATCTTAATCTTCTAGACAAAGAAAATAAAAACAAACTCAAGAAATGACCAACTGGATATTCTAGTGTCATTAGATATGAGTTATAGAATCTTACATTTCTCCAACTAGGAGGATCCAAATGTGTTTTTGTCTCTAGGCAATTTAAACTTATATAGGAATTTTTTCTTTTCTTAAAGCTCGTCATTCATTATGGACTTCATGCAATGTTCGCAACTTAGGGCTTTATATGAAAATGTTGAAGTTTTTCCAATATTTAAATAAAATCTGTCTTTAATTACAAATCACTTCACCACATTTGCCCAGCATTATCCATGTTAACTGTGTGTATTCTGAAGTCCCTTTTATTAAATAACTGCCCATACGTCTGTCCAAAACCAAATAAAAACCTTCAAGCCTTTAATCTTTCTTCAGAGGCACTAATTAGTTTTAAAATGTTGTTGCTTTTTAAGGGTGGCATCTTTTTCTAGTCTTTAGTGTTGATAGTTTGTGTTTTAAATATATAATACTGCATATTCAAACAAAGGTTGCTAATGAATATAAAATACAGTAAGAGGAGCAACCTCCTTCTTCACCAGATTAGATAGTGTATTTCCCAAAGTACTAAGAATTGTCTCAGATTTTTGATTGAGTAGCCATTTTACTTTATTCACTTAACAGTATACTTGTCTATTTTACTGTATATAAATTACGCCTTAATAAAAATAAATCTAAAAATAAAAATTAAGTAATAATTAAATTGAAAAACAGCTCAGAGCTACAGGAAGCAGGTATTTCAAGGACTTTCCCCATGTTTCAGTAAGAAGCTGCATGTCACAGTGCACACCTGTAATCCCAGCACTCTGGGAAGCTAAGCAGAAGAACCACAAGTTGGAGTCCAGCCTGGGAACTTAGAAACAGCGGGATCATCTCAGGATAAAAAATTAAAAGATCTAACTCTGTGCAAAGGAGTTTGACTCCCAGTACCACAAAAACAAACCAACCAACAAACAAGATCATTAAGGATGCAGTAAAACACATTAGCACATCAACAAAAGGCTTTTAGAAGTTAGCTTGTTTATTCTCTTAACATGACAAGGAAAATTATAAACTCAAGTATGTATACTAAAAACAAAGATGCACAAATTAAGAATGGCACAGCAATTAAAGAAAAGCAAGGTAGAAATTAACAGAGCTGTTACAAAGATTCACCAATAAAAAATTACACCTAGGAACAGGGATACAGCTCAATGGCACAGTGCCCTCCTGGCAAGTGTGAGGTCATGAGTTCGATCCCAGATACAAAAATAAAAAATAAAAAACTATACCTAATACCATATAACATTCATATTTTCTAGTGTTCAATTAACTGTGTCTCTGATGAACAGAAATATCCATAATAAATTAAGAAAGACATATAACTCTGGTCATAATTAAGATTTGCTCTGCTATCATATCATTAAAGCTTTTGATCTAAAAATCAGATAGGAGTCAGGCATGGTGGTACACACCTGTAATTCCAGCATGCAGGAGGCTGATGTAGGAGGATCACTGCAAATTCAAGGCCTGCCTGGCCAACAAATTGAGTTTAAGGCCAGCCTGAACTGCATAATGAGACCCTGTCTCAAAAAGAGGAAAATAGTAATAATAATAAATAAAAATAAAAATCAGGAAAAAATGAATAGATATATGTAACAAATTGAATTCAGATATATCTATTTGGGAAGTAAGCTAGCATTTAGAAGCCCATTTTTAAACAAAATCCAAAGTAAACATTAGAAAAGAAGAACAAATCAACCTTAAAAGCAAACAGAAATACCATAAATCAATAAACCTGAAAGAGAAGCCGGGGATTTAGCTCAGTGGCACAAGCGCTTGCCTGGCAAGTGCCAGATCATGAGTTCGATCCCCAGGACACCCCAGAAAAACCTGAAAGAAAAATATAGAAAATCAAAGAAGCTAGTTCTTTGAAATATAAATTGCCACGCATGGTGGTGCACATAGTGAGTTTGAAACCAGCCTGTTACATAACCTGTCTCAAAACACAAGGGAAAAAAATCAATACAGTCAAACCCATTGGCCCAAACTCATAGCCCCAACTACTCAGGTGACTGGGGTAGGAGGATCAGAAATTCAAGGCCCAGTCAGCCATGGTAGCACACCTCTGTAATCCTAGCACTGGGAGGCTGAGGCAGGAGGATTACCATGAGTTTGATACCAGCCTGGGCTACATAAGTGAGATCAAGGCCAGCCTACTCGATATATCAGACCCTGTCTCAAACAACAACAAAAGAAGTTCAAGGCCCAGTTTTAAAAAATAAATAAAGACCTCAGTAGTAGAGTGCTTGCCTAGCACAAGGACCTACATTCAATTCTCAGTATCACAAAAACAAAAGAAAAGAATTAGCGAGCCATGGTAGAGCATACCTATAATGTCAGCACTCTGGGAGGCTGAAGCACGGGGAATTGCTGCAAGTTGGAGACCAGCCTGGAATACAAAGTGAGCTCAAGACTAGCCTGAATGGCATAGCAATATCCTTTCTCAAAAAGACAAAAAAAAAAAAAAAAAAAAATCTGAGGGACCAGGGGTATAGCTCAGTGGCACAGTGCCTGCCTGGCAATCGTGGGGTTATGAATTGATCCCAGGTACCAAAAAAAAAAAAAGGAAGAAAGAAAGAAAAAGAGAGAGAACTAGACAGAGATGTTGGGTGTGGGGATAGCTGTGTATAATCCCAGAGAAACTGGGGCAGGAGAATCAACTGCAAATTCAAAACCAACCTGGGTTCCAAAATGAGATGAAGGCCAGTTTAAATTGCATAGTGAGACCCTGTATCAAAAAGTAATGAATCAATCAGAAAGAGAAGGGCAGGGGGATTAGCTCAGCGGCACAAGTGCCTGCTTGATAAGCATAAGGTCCTGAGTTCACTCCCTGGTACCAAAAAAAAAAAAAAAAAAAAAAAAAAAAATCCAAGCGAGGAGATTGTTATATATTCAAAAGATACAAATAGGACAGTAAAATATTATTATCAACAACTTTGGCCAGGGCCAGGGATTTAGCTCAGCAGCATAAGTGCCTGGCTGGCAAGCACAAGATCTCGAATTCGATCCCCAATATCAAAAAAGAAAAAAGAAAAAATACAACTTTGGCCAATGAGGCAGATTCAAAAGACACAAACTACACACTAAGGTAAATAAACAACACAAATAATCCTGTATCAAAGAAACTGCATTTGTGGTTAAAAACTTTCCCACAAAGAAAACTAGAGGTCTAACTGGCATCACTAGAGAACTCTCTCAAACATTTAAAGTCCTGTACTGACACCAAATCTATACAACACTTCCACAAACAAGAATAAAGAACACTTCACACCTCATTCATTGTATGAGGCCAGTGTCCTCTGGATACCAAAACCAAAGTCAATAGAAGTAAAACTTCAAAACTTTAGCCTACATTAAAACAGACACAAAATTTCTTAAAAACATGTAATCAGCTGGGCATAGTGGCACATGCCTGTAATCCCAGCACTCAGGAGGCTGAAGCAGGAGGATCCCCCACAAGTTTGAGGCCAGTGTGGGCTACGCAGTCAGTTCAAGGCCATCATCCTGGACTACATAGCAGGACCCTGTCTCAAAAAGAAAAAAAAAAAAAAAAAAAAAAGTGTGTGTGTGTGTGGGGGGTGTAAATAAACAAATCAACAATGTGTAAAAAGGACAATGTATCATGATCAGGTAGAAGGTACCCAGAAATGTAAAGCTGATTCAACACTGGCAAATCAATCAGTATAATTTACCATATCAATATAAAAAAAGCAGCAGCAGCAGGCACCACCACCAGTTTAACTTTGTTAACATATGCAGTTCAGAAAGCACAGATCCATACATTATCAATCTAATAATATTCTAATATTATTGGCTTAGCACTTTGGCCTTGTAGGTCCCGTTTCTTTTTTTTGGTACCAGAAATTGAACTCAGGAGCTTCTGCTTTGCCAGACAGGTGCTATGCATTGAGCTATATTCCTGGCCCACAGTCAGCCTTATTTCTATTCTTTTTTTTTTAACCTTATTTATTTTTTTGGAAAAAGTGTCTCACTACGCAATGCAGGCTGACCTTCAATTTGCTTATGTAACCCAGGGTAGCCTCCAGCTCAGGGCACTTCTGTCTCAGCTTCTCAACTGCTAGGGTTACAGGTGTGTGCCTCCACACCCAATCTTATTTTCATTCTTTTTTTTTGTCTTTCTAAGGCAGGGTCTTGTTATTAAGGCTGGCTCTGAACTCACACAAATTCTCCTGCCTCAGCTTCCTGAGTGCTGGGATTATGGGTACGTACCAACAATGCCTGGACCTTTATTTCTATTCTTGAGACAAAAAACTTAGGATACCCCTTACCTCTTCACTCTCTTAGGGAAATAACTTACTGAGTACCAAACTCAGATTATGGCACTGGTCTGGCTGCTAACAATACAGAGGTTAAACCAAGTGAACAAAAATTCCTTCCCTCACAAAGCTAAAGGCCCAGTCCAACTACAGACAGACAATTTTAACTGAAATTCCTAATTGCTCATTTCTTGATTTTTTTCCTTAAATCCTGTAGTTGCCTTCAGGTTCCTTTATATAAAGACCTCTAGGCTCACAATTGATTACCATGCCTTTGGAAAGGCTGAATGAAGTTTTTGCTTAAAGAAGAAGCTTTCCCTTCACAACATGTTTATGAAAAATCATTCATTACAAATAATACTGACCTCACCAGACTGGCTGATATATTTATACAGTGCTCATACTGTAGAATTAGAAGCATTTTATAGTTCACTTTTCCAGCAGCAAAGCCAAGCCTTTATACGTAGGTAAGCCATTTTCCTGGACAAATCTCTAAAGCAAGTCCCTGAGGACCATCACACAGGGACTGGAAATAGCAACTGGAAAGAGCCTCTTGAAGAATAATGCATTAATGTAAGTTAAGGAGGTAGGTGGACTAACTTTCTACCCAGCAACACAAGTTGTTCTGGTCCTTAGATCACTTTATGTTTATTTCATTCTAACTTTGGAAGCCTTTATCAGGCTACTTGACTAAAACAGAAGTACCTAGAATAACTAGGAATGAAAATCTGCTCTCCTACTAACTGGTACATTCTGTGTCTTCCTACAAGATGAAAAATGAATGTAGTAAAAGGCTGGCACTAAAGTTGTGTGAGAGTTGGAAGGGGCCTTTTAGTCGCTTGAAGCTTCTATTCTGTACTGGAATTCCTTCTGTGGTATTTCTGACTCATGGTCAATGATCTGGGTTCCTGGCTCAAATAAGATAAATGACCTTGTAAGGCTATCCTACTGGAAGTCAATTCTGGTGAGATCTTTGTTTTACTGAACTTTAGTGTTTTTTTGTAACATTCACTAGACATTATCATGACCACTGGAGTACCTTAAATTAAGTATTTTGCTCTCTTTTTATCTTTTATATTTGCCCCTGAAATACTGAGAAGAGTCATCCTATCTTCTATTTTACAGGCCAACCATCCTTATTTCCTGCAACCATTATTCATTCAAAACAGTTTCTGAAGCTTTTACAAGGTGTAGTGCCTACCTCTGAATATATTCCAGGTTGACAGTGTCCTTCAGAACAGGAATAAAATTTTACCTTAATAATAAAACAAAAACTGTTTACGGTATGTGGCTAAGTCTGATAAGTGCTGTCCTTTCCTTTTGTTTTCTTTTCTTTGGTATTGAGTATTGAATTCATGGCCTTGAGCTTGCCAGGCAGGTGCTTACGCCACTGAGCTAAATCCCTAGCCCTGTCCTTTTCTTACATGATACTGCCATACAAATATGATGAAAAACAGAGCCAGGAATGTACTGTACACAGCTAACCCTCAGGAGCTAACCCGCTCCATTGTGATTTCAAGGCCAGACTGAACGATAAAGGAACACCTCTCAAAAAAACAGCAAACAAAAACAAATACGATGAAAAAGAATTATTTAAGACACCCAAACAGGTAAGGAAAAGTTACACTGAAAATCTTAAGTAAAAAGGAAAGAGAAACTGGGATGAGGGAATGAAAAAAAGAAGGAAGAGAAAAGCAAAAAACAAAAACAAAAATATAGATATATATAAAACACAGTTAAGGTAAGTTATACTACTAATTTCTGTTAGTTCATTGAAAAAAAAAAGTTTGTGCTAATACTGTTATTAAATGCCAGTATCTTGTACTCTGGGTAATGAATTTAGAGATAACAATATATAATGGGTTAACCATTGCTATCCTCCTATTTTTCATTGTTACCTTCTACTATCTTTTTATTTTCTTTTTTACATTTTATTTTCTTTTCCAAATCCATTTTATTTCAACGACCCACCTATTATCTTGTTTTGAAATTTTTTCTTTAGAATTAAAAAAAATTCTAAGTAAGATCCTGCTTTTAAAAAAATGAGAAATAAAAGAATAAAAAAGGGGGGCTGGGGATTTAGCTCAGCGGCATAAGCGCCCGCCTTGTAAGTAGGCAGTCGTGAGTTCAATCCCTGGTGCTGATAAAAAAAAAAAGAGAGAGAGAGAGAAATATATATGAAAACATTAAAGAAAAAGAAAAAAAGGAAAACATTAAGGATAAATATAGAGAAAATACAGTTGATATTACTGACATGGACACACAAACAGGCATTTTATTCCCTAATCAAATACATGTTGAAAACACAAGATAAAGAATTCTGCCAATGCAGTCCAAGAGAAGTGTCAAGCCACAGATATCAACATTGCTGCAAAGGGTTTTCTATTTTTAAATAGAAAGTTATATATTTTATACCAAAAGCATATTAGAATGATATACTTTGATAATTAAAAATGAAATTATAGAAAGTAGAAGATTCTGCCACATACAAAAGATTTTTTTAAATGCAAATATTAGGTCACAAAGAGAACCAAGAAAAATCAGCTAACCTAAGCTAAAAGAGTGAAAACTTTTCTGGATAATTTAGTAATCTTCCAAGCGGCAGCCAATTTTCTCTTTGAAATTATACAAAAACAACAAACAAATCATATGGTAGCAACCAACTAAAGCCCAATCACCAAGACATTAATAAAACAATAAATATTTCTTTTTTCTTTCTGCTTTCACTTCTTTTAATTTCTATTTTTTAAACAAAACACATTTTAAATTTTTAAATCCAAATGTCTTAATCACCTTTTTTTATTATAGAGGAAAAGACTGTCATTAATCATATTACCACATACATCAACAACTTCTTAATTATCAAAGAATTTTAAAAAATAAAAATTTAATGAACATAACTAATGTTTCCTTAATGATTTAGAAGGCACTTCACAACATTAGGGTCTCAAGAATATCATTATTAGGGGCTGGGGATTTAGCTCAGCGGCATAAGTGCCTGCCTTGCAAGCAGGCAGTCGTGAGTTCGATCCCCGGTACCGATAAAAAAGAAAAAGAATATCATTATTTCTTAGGATTTGTGTTTTCTTTATACATTTCAAAGCTCCTCACAAATAAATGCGAGTGGAACCTCTGTTGCCTTTTCACAATTCAGGTCAACGAGAGATTACAGACAGTAGTCTCTACTGTATTTGCTGCAGTGAGACTGGTTAGCAAGAGAAACCACTGTAAGAAGAAACTGAGGGCCAGGGATGTAGCTCTGCGACACAACACCTGCCTAGCAAGTTAAATTCCCAGTACTAACGAAAAAGAAAAAGAAGACAAAGACAAAGACAAAGATAAAGATAAAATGAAGACGAAGACGAGGAGGAAGAGGAAGTGGGGAGGAGGAGGAAGAAGAAGAAAAGGAAGAAGACGACGATGACAAAGAAGAAACCAAAAGTACAGTCCACAATAACCTGAAATTCTAATTTGAATCCACTTATTAAAATAGTACAACCGGAAAAAAAATAAATAAAATAGTCAACTGGCATAACTTGGTTGTTTTGAGAAAAATTATGATATTTTCCAGGAAAGTCTTCCCTACTGCTTCGTGTTGGGTTGCTTTGAGGTATAACTTACAAATAAACTTAAGTTTATCCAATATGCTAGCAACTTGAAATAGTATAAAGGATGCTGAGCTATAATAATAAGACAGAAATAGTAGTAACAGGTAATAAATAGGCTGCAAAGAACCGAACCACTACTGCTTTATTACTTCAATTCATTACAGGTATTACTTAATAAGTCTAACAATAATATGCACCTGATGTAGAGGGGATATTCATTGTTAACATGTTACTACTATGTTAACATGTATGTGCTAGGTGAAGAGTTAACTAGGAGTGGTACAAGTAGCAAATATCTCTGTATAATAAAGTTAGAGTAAGTCACAGGATCAATTTTAATAAAGTTAGTTACCTGTAAAGGTTTAAAGTCACAACAATGACCTAGTGAAAATCAGTAATGAGCTTGGCATGGTGGCATATGCCTGCAGTCCCAGCACTCAGAAAGCTGAGACAGGAGGATTGCTGTGAGTGCAAAGGCAGCCTAATTACATAGTGAGTTCAAAGCCAGCCTGAACTACACTGCCTCAAAAAATAAAAAGTCATTACTAAAAGTGAATTCATTCATTCATCTGAAATTAGCAAATTAGCAAAACCCGTCTCAAAACATATAAAGGGTTAGGGATACAGCTCAGTGCAAAGTCCCGAGTTTGATCTCTACTAGTAAGAAAAGAAAAAGTCTGTGAGAAATAAAAAAAAAAAAAAAGGAAAAATAAGAAAGACTTTACCCATTTACTGTATTTCAAAGGTCCTGTGAATCCCATGGCTTCTATTATCTTCGTGAAGGGACCAACCTTCTCCTCAACTGGCTGTGGGGAATCTTTGGTGGTTGGAAGCTATTTAACCAAAAAGAAGGCAATCAAAATTAATTACAAAAAAAAATTTTAGTAGGAATCCTTTCATCCTTGTGTGAGAGTATTTATAATGTTTAGTTTTTTATTCCTCTAGAATTTTTAATTTTCAAGTTTTTAGGCATCATATCACTAAATGCAAACACATTTGGAATGGTATCTAATACATATTCCCCAAATTACAGAATAAGATATACCTATTTCAGTGACCATGAGCTTCTGAACCAATGTCTATAAAATTGTATACTTCAAGTATCAGAATAAAGGTTCTACTAGAAAGAGTACTCTTGCTGGGCATGATGGGCCACGCCTGTTATCCCAGCAATTAAGAGGCTGAAACAGGAGGATGGCTGAGGGTTCAATGCCAGCCTAGGCTACAAAGTCAATTCAAGGCCATCCTGAACTGCATAGTGGAACCCTGTCTCAAAAAGGGGGAAAAAGAAAGAAAGAAAAAGTAAGTACTCTTAAAAGGAAGTTTTGCTGGGCATGGTGCTACATGCCTGTAATCCCAGTTACTTGAAAGCCTCAGATAAAAGTATTACAAATTCGAGGAGTCCCAGTTCCACAAACAAAAAAATTTTTTAAAGGTTAGGGCTAGGCATGGTAGCACACACTTGTAATTCCAGCACTTCAGAGGCTGAGGCATGAGGCTCCCTGCAAGTTCAAGGTCAGCCTGGACTACAGAGAGACCCTGTCTCAAAAAAACAAACAAACAACTTGGGTTTGATTTCTAGTATTGCAAAAACGCAAAACAAAACAAATCACAAAATAAAAGGATATCTTGATCCCTATTTCCCAAAGAAGAATACACACAATTCTAAGAAGAGGAATGTTTTCTATGGGTAGAAAAGGAAGAGAAAAACACTATCTGAAAGCAGACAAAGGTCATCTAAAGTCACAATCAACCAAAACAAGCATGCAATAAACATTTTAAAACTCATATTCTTTAGTATAGCAAATTTTATTAATGAATATAGAACATATAGTTCTTGCAGTTTGAAAACAAACTAAGGAAACCTGTCTCAATGTTAAGTCTCTCTAAAAGAATAACCAATAAAAACTTCTCAAAAAGTTACTTTTTTTCACTTTTTCAACTTTTTTAGTACATTTTGCAGACATAACAATTACATTTGTCTCAAGGAGTTGGTGTATGTACCTAACACATTTTAATTCTATTTATATCTGCTTCCATTCCCCCCCTCCAGCTGTATTTTCCCTCCACTCCCTCCTCTCTTTTTTCCTCTATTACCTATCTTTTATTTTGCTCTTTACTTACATTTTGGGTTCCTCATCTTTATTTTTAACTTGTACAAAATTCATAGACTTTTGGGCCAGGGATATGACTTAGTGGCACAGTACCTACCTGGCAAGTACAAGGTTGTGAGTTTGATTTCCAGTACCAAAAGAAAAAGAAATCATCAACATTTTTCCTTTATAATGTTTTCCAAAAAAATACACTGAAAGAAACAGATGATATAAGCTCGGAAGACTTACTTATGACCCTCTGTGACCTTGGACAAGTCACTTTGAGACTCTGACCTTCCACATCTGCTTAAAATCCATGCCTCATCTAGCTAACACTTCTGTTGGAATTCAAATAAGAACATCTATCAGAAAGCACTTTATAACAGAAAGCTTTGTTAATTCTCACCTTATTTGTGATGTGATATTTTCTTCTCTGCTGCATGTCTACTCCAGGAATCTGTTCTGACCTTCCACAGCTTAGGGACTGGCTAATCTGGAGCCACTAGAGAATTAAAAAAAAAAAAAAAAATGTTAGCAACAATGAACATTCACTCATTGAATACTGGCAGGACTGCAATACAAAGGCAGAAAAAAGATGCCAATTTTTAAGTTTAAAACCTGCTTCTGTCACCTACAACTTGGAGTGATGAGCAACTTATTGAGCCTCAGTTATAGTGAGGATTAAAGGAGACAACCACGTAAAGGGCCTCTCACAAAACAGGTACTCAAAATAGGTACAACTGTGTAAGTTTCCACCATCACTACTACCATCATCAACATCATTGCTTAGAGTATAACTGCCATTCTATGTTCACACTGCATTTAAAAAAAACTTGGTGCCAGGCATGGTAGCTCACACCTGTAATCCCAGCACTCAGGAGGCCAAGGCAGGAGGATTTTCATGAGTTAAAGGCCAGCCTGGGCTACATAATGAGTTGAAGGCCAGCCTGAAATGCACTGTAAGACCCTGTGTCTAAAGAAACAAAAACAAAAACAAACAAACAAAAAATTATCCTGGCAATACAGAAGCCCCTATTTATAATTCTAATGTGCTGGGTACTATGCTAAGTTCTTTATGTATTTCCTCTTTTGTCTTTTCTCATCTCTCTCTCTCTCTCTCTCTCTCTCTCTCTCTCTCTCTCTCTCTTTCCCTCTCTCTCTCTGGCAATACTAGAGACTGAACCCAGGGCCTCTGCACTGAGGTATATCCCGGCCCTTTTCATAACTTTTAATTTATGACAGGGTCTTGCTAGGTCACTAAATTGCCTGGGCTGGGCTTAAACTTGCTATTTCCCTGCCTTAGCCTCCCAGAGTGCTGGGATTACAGCAGTGCACCTGAAAGGGTTTTGGCCCAGACAGGACACTGTAGCCAGGAAAACCTCAACTGGAACCAGGAAGCTCCTATCTCCCCCGCCCCTAGGAATTTACCTATGGCGCAAAACCTAGGACCAATGGGCTACCCGTGCATCCCTGATGCCCCCTTAGTTTCCACCCCAAACCGAGGCTACTTACATACCCCCAACACCACATGTCCGCTGGAGAGATCGCTGGACTCCAGCAGTGTGGGGTGCCAGTCATCTCTCTCCATGCTCTCAGAATAAATGCCTCTTTTTGTTTTATACTTCTCATCTTTTGGAAATACTTTCATCTTTTGGAAATAATCCTATCATTTGGTGCCGTGCAGCACCACGTGTGGCTACATTATTTTCTTCTTTAATCTTCATCATATCACATTAGATTGATTTTCCTTATTTATTTGTATATTTACTTAATTTGGAGACAGGTTTTCACTATGTAGTCCAGGCTGGCCTCGAACTTGTGGTCATTTTCCTGCCTCAGTCTCCAGCATCCTGGGATTATAGACATATGCCACCATGCCTGGCTAGATTGGTATTTTTCTTCATAATCAAGAACAAAACACACAGTTTTGAAAATAAATTCCTAAAGAGAAACCTACATGCAAGAGATCTTCACTGTGGCATTAATCACAAGAATGAAACCAAAGGAAAAGTTCAATAAGGAGAATCACCTAATGGAGAATCAAATAATCATTGATAGCTTTTTAAATAGATTTTTACTAGACTTTTCAAAAGCCGTTTCAGGGTTGCAGCAAAACAGAGCAGAAAATACAGAATTTCAATATATCCTCTCCCACACACAACGCACAACCTCCCAACTGTCAACATTCTAGTCCACTGTTCACATTACAAATTATTTTCATATGAAACATATCTAAAACATGGGTAAAATTATAACTAAAAACATGAATGTACATGGGTAAGCCAAGAAAGTCTCACACTGAAATGAAGAGTTACTTTGTTACATCATAATTACACATAACAGGCAGACATGATAGTGCACACTTATAATCCCAGCACTCCAGGAAACAGGCTGGGGCAGGCAGATCAGTAATCCAAACCCTGGGTGGGGAACTTAATGACTTAGTAAGACCCTATTGCAAAATTTTAGAAATTTTACAAAGGGCTAGGGATGTAGCTCAATACAAAGCCCCTTAGTTCAATCTCCATTATATCTGTCTGTCTGTCTGTCTGTCTGTCTGTCTGCACATACGTGGCTGGGGATGCTTATAGCTCAGCATAACACTTGCGCTATATGTGAGGCCCTAGACTCAATCTCTGGTACAATGAGAGGAGAGGAGAGGAAAGGAATGGAACTATGGGTAAGTTTAGGAATCTAGTTTCTCAACTCCCGGTGAAGTTCTATTACCTTGACAATAAAAGACAAGGGAGGAAAGAGGAAGAAGGTTAATCTTCCAATTCTGGTTTATTTCAAAAGAGAAGGGACACAAAGAATGAAAATGAAAAAACACAATTCCTACTGTAGAACATAACTATGTATATTTCTTTCCTTAACAAGAGTACTGAAAGATTAGCAGGTTCTTCTGGTCAACCCCAGGGACATTTACACTTTAATTTAAAAGTAACAAGCATGCTTTATAAAACACAAACTAAACAGAAAACACCTCTCATGCCAACATGTATGTCAATGCAATGGTCCATGTAGGACATTGAACACTGAAACTGGTTCAAAGAACACAACCAACTGCAGATTGAGTAGGCTGTGCTTTTAAGCTTGAGTTCTCTTCCCTGAGAATATATGACCTTTCTCGTTTCCCACAGCTCCAGGAGAAATCAATGTATTCCTTCTGTGAATGCTCCATCACCTGCTGTATTTCTGTCCAGTCATTATTCATGACATTCACATTTCATATTATATGGAACTACTAAAGTACCTATGTATCTAGTACCAAAGACACCATCAAGTTTTCCCATACTTTTATGTTTACCCATAACACATACTCTTGTCATTCCCCACCCAAAAGAATGAACCCTTAAAGACTTAAATTTTTATCTACTTAAATTGAAAAGACATCAATAAATAATTCTTCACAAAGAGAAAAAATACCCTGAAATACTCAAGTCACTGTTTCAAAACAGCTTTTCTGACCACCTTATCTAAATAGTTTTTCACCCCCTTATTCTCTACCATAGTCGTAGCCTGTTTATATCTTTTAAAGTGTTTTGTATAACATATAAAATTATATGCTTTATTTATATATTTATTCATTGTTATAGATTAAAAACTGGTGGTCAACTTAACACCAACTGAATTAAATCAGCATGGTGCCGAGTGTAAATGGCCCACATGAGGAAAGCTGCCAGCACAGAAAAGAGACGTGGAGAGGAAGAGCACTGTGGCTTCTCCTAAATGTTGCGGTTTGGACCCACTGGTTCTCCTGGAGGAGCTTGTCATGGCTGGCTTCCCTAATATGAACTCAGCCATTATCACCGGAGAAGTTCGAGACCTTCTCACTCAGGGTGGCTATGGTTCACTTTGGAGCAGCTTTAGTCCTTACTTTGAGCACTCTTCCTGGCTCCAGAGGGGAAGATGTATGCTGTTTAATCTCCAGGCAAAGTTGTCACACTGGCTTCCTGATATGTACTCAACTGTTCTCATTGTCGGAGGAGCTCAGGACTTCATTGTCACTGAGGATGGCTGTGGTACTTTTGGGGGGAACTCTAGTCTTATTTTGAGCATCACTTATTGGTTCTAGTATAGAGCCCTCAGCCTGCTAGCACTCACCTCGCTGGCACAGACTTTCTAGCTTCTACCACTGACCTTTGGGCCTTCCCAGTGCAGATACATAAAACAGACTTGCATAAGTCATTGTTGTGGGCTCTACGCCTCCAGTTGGACTTCTGGGAGGCATGGTCATGGACTCTAGCTCTTCAGCTGGACTTATGCAGGACACTGCTGTGGGATCTAGGCTCGTGGCTGGATTTTCTAGGTCTTTAAGTGTTGTGGACAGATGTCCTGTACTTTCTTGTATTTAACTCTGGGTGACCATCATTATATAATATTACAAATTCTGTGTCCTGTATGTAATTGTTCTCCTAGCAACCCCTGACTACAATAGTCATTTTCTATCATCAGTCCTAAAACACACAGGATAAGAACTAGGTATACTACCAGAATCAAGTACAGCTACACATATGAAACTCAAATATTTAATGAATGAACAAATGCTACCACCTGTGTAACCTTTTTTTTTTTTTTTAATTTTAAAAATAGTAAAATACGACAAAGCAAGACAGAACAAAGCCAGTCAAGACAATGCAGCAAAACTGGTACAGAACTTCAGAGCAGGACACTGGGAAAACAATAGTAGCTACCATAGTTTATCTTGTTATCTTCACAATAGTTGTGCATTTCATCAGGTAGAGCAAAATCAAACCAAAAACAAAACACAATAAAACCAGTCAAAACAGAATATTGAATAAAGCAAAACAATCAGAACAAAACAAAACAGTATTGGACTCCAAAGACACGACAGAAGGAAATCCTCCATATTTGCTATATATCACATGTTGTCATCCTCCAGAGAGATGCTCACACTGCTGGCCCTAGGCCTTACACATACATACATACATACATATATGCTTATTTATGTATTTATTTATGAAGGAGGTGGAACCCAGGGCCTTGCACACACTGGGCAAGTCCTCCACCACTGCACTACATCCCCAAACTCTTCATATTCTGTGTTTCAAAGGCAAACTAATCTGTGGCATTCACAATCAACCTTGGTTCAGGATAATGACTAGCAGGGTATCTGTGAAGCTTCTGCAGTCCTGCTTTCTACTTCTTGATATGGACACTAGATAGGATAATAGTAATTATAATAATATATATTATAATAATTCATTTAGTTGTACACTTACAATGCCTTTTTGGCACTTTTATTGTACCTCAATAAAATGTACAAAAATGCTCAAAGATGTGGAGTAGGCAGTATAAACAAAAGAAATGTGGAACTGGAAAAGAACAACCTAGAGTCATTAGAAAATACTTGTAGAAAAGGGCAGGATAGCTGGGTGTGTTTGCACATACCTGTAACCCCAGCCCATGGGAGGCCAAGGCAGGAAGATCGCCATGAGTTTAAGGCCAGCCCTGGCTACATGCTGAACAAAGCCAGCATGGCCTACATAGAGACCCTGTCTCAACAAAAAAGAAAGAGAAGATAGAAAAGGTAAAATAAGAAGCAGGTGAGGAAGCATGATGTAGGGAAAAAAATACAAACACAAAATTGAGAGATTTGGGTTGAAGCTCTAGTCTGCTGTCTTATAAATGTTTTGAGGACCAAATAAAGTAATAAATGTAAACTACAATGTATAATATAGATATAAAGACCGTTCCAGATAACTGCAGTGAGAAATTCTTTCAGATAGCCTCTCATTAACAGGAATATGTAAGATTTTATCTTTATTTTTTGTTTCTTAAAGATTCTGAAAGAGAAAAAGAGAAGGTGACAGAAGTCAGAGAATCAAGTAATTCTCAAATGTCATGGTGTGTGTGAAGGGGTGAGTGTTAGAGTCTCCCAAAACTGTAAGTTCCACCAGGGCCCAGACCATCTTGGTTTTTTTTAATTTGCTTCCCAGTGCTCAACACCATTCTGGGCATGGTGTTGGTACTTCAGTAAAAACTAGGTAGATATTTTTTTTTAACTGATTTCAAAGAGTAAGACAATTTGGAGAAGGTCCAAAAAAAGAACCACAGGAATGATCAAAGGGATGAATAAAAGGTCCTAGTGGAAAGGTTAAAATGAATTGAAGTGTTTAGTTTGGAGAAAAGGCAACTTAAGAATTAAGCTTAGAATAACAACACTTGAGTTGGAAGAGAGCTCAGAGGTCTTCTAGTCCAAAATTTTCACTTCACAGATGAGGAAACTAAAATTAAGGAAGAGGTTGCAACATGGTTAGGACTTTTTTCTTTTCTTTTTCTTTTAAGTTTCACTTTATACAGTGAGGGGTAAATTCAGCCAACTAGCATGAACACAAATAACAACAAAATAGCAGTTACAACTCACTCAGCATTCTCTATATTCCTGGTATATTTTTTATGTTTTACTTATATTATCTCACAACAACCTTGTAAAGCAGATACTGTTTCTTTCCCACTCTAGAAATTAGACTGCTAAGGCTCAAAGAAAATTCAAAAAGTAAAACATTCAAAACTATGGTTTACTAAGTGGCCTTCAAAAACCTAGTTCAACAACATAGGCTCAAGACATCTTTAATTCTTTCTTCCTTTCTTTTTTTTTTCTTTTTCAGACATCTTTATTTCTAAATACCATTTTCCAGTAAAAGGAACCAGAGCTCCTTGGAGAAATGATTGAATCTAGGACAAGAGCAAAGAAAATACAACGTGAAACTGAAACATCTTGCGGTGCCAGGAAATAAGAGAGTATTTAAAAATGATGAGGACATGTAAAAAGGAACTTAAAGAAGTTTCTAAGAGCCAAAACTGGGACAATTTATTTGATGAAGAAAACAACTAATTTGAAAATGGATTATTACTCATGGAAGAAAATAAACATTCATGAACTCATATTGATAAATAACTGGGAAAACAAAGGGGAAAAAAAATGACAGCTCCTCCTTTCAGAAGAACTCCAATTAGTAAATACGAGGAATAGTGAAAACAGAAAATCACTACTAAGCAAACACCACAGTTGCAGCCAAGAACAATAGAATCATCATATAATCCAGCAATCCAATGCTGAGTATACACACAAGAGTTCAAAGTAGTTTCTCAAACTAGCATTTGCACACTCATGTTCACTGCACAATTATACATAATAGCCAAGAAGTAGAAGGAATCCAAAGTCCACTGATCCAAATGGATAAAGAAAATGTGATATGTATTTCTATATCAATATATTTTTATATATTACATATATGAATATTATACAGACTTTAAAAAGAAAATTGTCTTATAACATAGATGAACCTTGAAAACATAATGGAGAAATAAGTGGGTCACAAGAAGTCAAATACTCTTTGATTCCACTTAGATGAGGTATCCATAGTAATCAAGTACTCTACTAGAAATAAGAAGCCAGGTATGGTGGTACATGCCTATTATTCCAGCACTCAGGAGCCCGAGGCAGGAGGATCACTGTGAGTTGGAGGTCAGCCTGGGCTCCGTGGTGAGTTCAAAGCCAGCCTAAACTGTCTCAAAAACTAAAACTAAAAATACAAAAATTTATACTAAGAAAAAGCCTATAGTGACAGGAAAGGGATAATATAAATAACAAAAGCTATCTACAACACAAATATATCTCCTTTAATAAAAGTGAAAAAGGGGGCTGGGGGTTTAGCTCAGCGGCGTAAGCACCTGCCTTGCAAGCAGGCAGTCGTGAGTTCGATCCCTGGTACCGATAAAAAGGAAAAAGACAAAAAAAAGAAAAGAAAAAAAAAATAAAAGTGAAAAAGCACCAACATAAAAATGTAAGTGTATTAAAGTTACTTAAGGAAAAATAATTAGTATACATACATGCACAGAGCTACAAAAGAACCAGCAGAGATGAAAATATTATTTCAGATTTGAAGTCAAAGATCCTTTTTATTTCCTTTATTAAAGTATTAAAGATATAACAAAAATCAGGAAAAATAAAAACCCCTCACAAAGGAATTCCAAGGTTAATTACACTACAATGAATCCAACATTAGGCAACCTAAGATTCAAATAATTGTTTCTTGGATTTTATATTCATAAAAAGAAAAAGAAACATTTTTCACCCCAAATAAAAGCTGCACAAAGTAGTTTCAAAAAGAAAACAAAGAAGTTAATTCTGAAATGAATGTCTGGAAAAATTCCCTAACAGTAAAAATCATCAGACTGTAACATGGTATCCTGGGCTAAGTTCCACTGCTAGGGTATTTAGAAGCAACACCCTGGACACCATATTGTAGGAATCAGTCCTGAGCTGACACCACAGAGACCTACAGTGGTCTCATGAGGTTTTCCACCGCACAATTTGGTTGACTAACCTATGAATATATATTTGCACATAAACATTAACATTTTCAAACTAAGCCAATGAAGAACAAATCTTACCTGGGAAGTGCCACACAGAGTCCTGCCCCATGGTACTTTTGTAGGAGACAATGGTACCAATCTGCTGCATACTGGAATCCACTGAGAGGTGCTAGTCTGCCTCCCCTAGAAAGAAAATTTTTAAAAAACCATGTCAGGAATCTCTATCAGACTCCATTATGTAGAGGGCAGTACAGTGTATCTGTGACACTGTGATATAAGAAGTATGTATTTGGTCTTTTTTCCTAGCTCCAAGAATCCTTAGAATTTCTGAGTGACTGGAGTATTTCATTATTCATAATAAGCCCCTCTCAACCTTACTACAGTTTATGCTTATGAGGTACCTCTGACTAGAGGAGGGAGTGGACTGGTTTCCAGAGGAACTAAACAAATAAGTACCGGTTCGGAGCTTTCACTTCAATACTTAAAGCTTACAATCACCAGTGTATACATATATTATTATTACCTTACTTACACAGATAAGAAACTGAGCTATGCTTAGTATAAACAACTTTCCAAAACCACAGTTAATAAACAGCAGGTTTAGGATTGGGCCCCCGGAAGCCCAACTCCAGAATCCATGTTCATTAATGGGATGAAAGGCTGAGGGATTATCTCCAAGATCCCTTCTAGCTCTAATACTAGAAGTATAACCAATGGTAGAGTCCTGAACCAATTAAAACAGTATATTAGCTAGCAACCCTATAAGCCCAGCTATTTGGGAAGATGAGGTTCAGCCAAAGAGTAATTTAGCAAGATTATGCCCTAAAATAAAATTTTTTTAAATGACTGGGGAGGTAGTTCAGTGCAACACCATGCATTTACTCTCCAATGCCACTATATCTATAAATAAAATAAAACAACATACTGCAGAAACAAGTACTTGGAATTAGCTCCTGGTTCCTGTGTTTATAACCTACATGTCAGGTAAAATCTCAATGGGGCTTTGTCACCTCTTACATAAATACCTACTTCTTATAAATGAAGACAATAAACAAACATACCTTGCAATATGTCTAGCTTAGTATTAAGAGTAATCTACTCTCTACTTCCTTATGAGTAGGAAAGAAGAATAAGGGTGGAATAGGGAAAGGCATTAGAATTTTAAACTTACAGATATTTAAAACACAGTTTCATGTCCTAATACTGTACAACTGTTTCTAATAGGCTACTCACAGCACCTTATATTAATATAAATCAAACGTGGTTAAATATATTTTATTTCAGATAAAGTTTGAACTATTGGAATGGTTTCCAAATGACAGTCCCTGCTGTATTGTTTTGTTAATACTGACAGATTTACCAGAATGATGTCAGGTGCTCTCTTCGAAAAATGTAAACATAGGTTAAATAAAACTACAGTCAGGGCCAACGAAAGGAGGAAGACTCAAGAGGATATTACAACTAGAAATGATGCAAACTTTAGAAAATTCTCTGAAAAAAGTTAAAAAGAAAATTTTCTAAACAATTTCATCATGTTATTTCCAATATCAACAAAACTTTTCCTTGTAATTTGGATTCTACTTGGTCTTAGGTCAATACTTTAAATCAGTTCTTAGGAGGAGAAATTAGCTCTGTCCTTTCCTTCTTCATTCCTGCAATTCTTGTACAAATCCTTAATTCAAAGTGCTAAGGTACAGAGAAAAGATGGATGAATCCCAAGCCTCCCATTAAACTGCTGTGTGACCTCAAAACACTCAACAATCTGGGCCTCTGCTTTCCCTTATGACAAATGGGAATAACAAAACTACCTCACAGGAACTTTCCAAGGAACATGTGTAAAGGCACCCTGATAATAGAAAATACATATAATGACATCATTATCACTATGAATAATTTTTACTAAATTATATACACTCCTCTTTCCCCAGCAAACTGTCAAAGCAGCAAAACCATCTTCTTGGGCTGGGGATTTAGCTCAACAGTGTAAGTGCCTACCTGGCAAGTAGGAGGTCGTGAGTTCAACCTCTGGTACCAAAAAAAAAAAAAAAAAAAACCATCTTCTTAATTCGTTGTTTTTTGTGTTTTTGTTTTTGCTTTTTGTTTTGTTTTGTCTTTTGAGATAAGGTCTCACGTAATAGTCCTCTGTAGCCATGAACTCACCACACCTAGCAATAATTTGTTTTTTTTAACCCAGTATGGTGGCCCATGCCTGAAATTCCACCATTCTAGCAGGCTGAAGCAGGAAGATTGCAAGTTTGAGCCTACTCGGTGCTAATTTAATGAATCAGAGAAACTCTGTCTCAAAAAGGACTGGGAATATAGTTCCATGTGAAGGTCATACGTTCAATTCCCAGTTTTTTTTAAAAAAATTATTTTTAACCTGGCACATTGAACCACTGGTGTTGGGGGAAAGACAGTATTAGATTTCTGAAAGTCACTGGTGCAACATTTTTGTCAACCAATCAATAGCTAATCTTGTTTTGTGTGTGTTTATTTATAGTTATTTACACTGAACTCACAGCCAATAGCATAGAAATTCATTCCTCAACAAAACTAACTGAACGTGGGCTGGGGATTTAGCTCAGCCGCATAAGCACCTGCCTTGCAAGCAGGCGGTCACGAGTTCGATCCCCGGTACCGATAAAAAAAGGAAAAAGACCGAAAAAAAAAAAAAACTAACTTAACGTTCATAAAGCACATCACTGCTTCTTGCACTTAACACTGGCCAAAACTTGAGCATTACTTTTGGGGGCCACTTTACACAAAGAAGTGACCAAAGCAAGCACAAAAATATGAAAAGTATGGCACTAAATAGATCATAAAAAAGATATTTACAACATGAAATCTGAAATAAGAAGTCAGAGGTGCCTCATTTGGCCTCCACTGGGCACGCGTAAATTGGTGAGTCAGATTTCTCAGTCATCTATACAAGTCTACAAATGACTGAAAGTACTGTGAGCTACTGAGTTGGGGTTACAAATAAATTCCAGCAACTAGGTAAATTCACAAATACAGAATACATGAAGTGCCTACCTGGCACTAACTACAGTCACCAAATCTGTAATTCCTCTGTGGTACCTATATTCTGAATCCCACGGTGTCTAATTCAATTCCAGTCCAGAGACAGAGACAGATACTATTGTAACAAGTCTCCCACAAGTTATACTGCGATGTGCAGTGTCACCAGATGGGTCTCAGAAGGTCCCTTAAAGAGGGGACAGAGACCTCAACTCAACCTTTGAAGTTGATTTGACTCTCATCATAGAAATATCATCATATTTCAGGATGTGTCAGTGACATAGGCTGACTTACTGGGCAGAGATAAAAAACAGCCAGCCATGGTGGCTGACGCCTGTAAGGCCAGCACTCAGGAGGCTAAGGCAGGAGGATTACCACAAGTTTGAGGACAGCCTGGGCTAGACAGTAAGTTCAAGGCCAGCCCAGTCTGAACTACAGAGTAGTCCCTGTCACAAAAAAAACAAAAGTAAACAAAGAAACAAAATGAAAACAGAGAAGGAACTTCAGCCTGACAAGCTAGAGGGGGCACAGCTCTGATGAAGATCAGACTGGCCTATTAACAAAAGAACAAGACCTAGATGTATGAATTTACTGGAGTGGGCTGAGTCTTGAGGGTACAATTTTGTCTCCAGAAGATGATTATTCCTGTTGGGGGCTGCCTCAGTTTTGTAGAAGTCAACCTCCTAAGATGATCACAGGTTTAGAGCTTTCAATGATAAGAAACAGCCCACTGGGGCACACACGCCATAGGTTCCCCACCTATGGTGTAGAGCAATGACCAGAGAATACTGTGCATCATTGGTAAGTGAATGTCCCAGTAAACCCTCTATCTATGGTTCTTGAAGGAGAATAAGATAGTTTTGTAAATTTTAGGGGCAATCAACTTTGTTTTGCCAACTTTTAGACAAATACTCCATAAATTATCAGCATGCCTATATGCAGAGCTAAGCAAGGAACTGACCCAAGGTCATAAGGTAATAAATGAAGAAGAAAGCTTTGTTCTAATTTAGTAAACTATTGGGCATCTACAGGCCTATGTCTTAGCAAAACTAGTTTTTGTTTTGTGCTTCTGGGGATTGTACCCATGGAGCAACATCCCCAGCCATTTAAAAAAATTTTTTTTATTTAAAAGAGGATGAAACAGAATAAAACCAATCAAAGCAAACCAGTAAAAGAGGTACACAGTTAAAAACATTATAAAAATCGACAATAGTTACCATAATGTCTTTTAAAGTCTTCAAAATAGCTACAGATAACTTCGGACATAGTAAAAGTCAAACAAACAAGCCGGGCCTGGTGGCTCAGGCCTGTAATCCCAGCTGAGGCAGGAGGATCGTTGTGAGTTTGAGGCCAGACTGGGCTACAAAGTGAGCTCAAGGCCAGCCTGCACTGCACAGTGAGACCCTGTCTCAAAAAGACAAAAAAAAAAAAAAAAAAAAATCAAACAAACAGAATAGAAACAAAGCAATGAATGCAATAAAGGACTTCAAAACAAGCCTACAGTAACTCCAAAATTGCTACCATAATGTATCTTGTTATCTTTGAAATAGTTGCTCCTGCAATTAGATTTAACGTACTAATCAAACAAAACAAAAGCATAAGACCCAACCAAACAAAACAATGGAAAAGACACAGGACTTCCAAAACAAGATAGGGAACCAACAATGGCTGCAACCCTCGAAGGAGATCCCCACTAGATGCCACTCTGCCTACCACTATCCTTTGAACCTATGATCAGACCCCTCCAATGTCATTGAAACACCAAAGCACCCCAGGCATCCAACTGCATTTCACCTCCACAGCTATCATCACAGCCTGTGCTTCTCCTGATAAGATGGTCTCTGGGGCAGGGGGAGGGTTATGCTACTTCTTGTTGGCCAGCCTACTCATCAGAAGGGGCTGGGGTCTGGCTGTACCAGTCCAGCAGGGGTGCCTTTGTAGCACTGCTTCCCTGACTGGGTTTGCTTGCTTGCTGATGTGTCCTTTATTTTCGCTCCATTTTTTATTTTTTAGACAAAGTCTCACTAAATTGCTAAGTGCTCAGGCTGAGCTTGAACTTGCGATCCTCCTGCCTCAGATTTCCAGAGTGCCAGTATTACAAGCGAGCACTACCTTGCCCAGCTCCAAAAACTGCTTTTAAGTCCCTACCTGCCTCAGACAAAAACACAAATCATTCTCTTAATAAATAACAGGTTGAGGCCCAGAGGTTTGTCCTCTGTCTCTATGGTGTCCTCTGAGTGAACTCCAAAAGAATACTTCCAGTCAGGGGAAGCAGAAAATATTCAACTATTCTTTCAAAAAATATTAAGGCTGCAGGTATAACTCAGTGGTAGAGCGCATGCTTAGCATATACAGGGCCCTTGATCCCTAGCACAAAAACTGGAAATTTTTAAATTATTGAATATTCTTCCTTTATTGAAGTATTGAAGGTATCTAATCTGAGCTTTCAAAAGACTGACTATAGACAGAAGGATTTGAGCAAATTTGTAAATAAATTAAGGGTGAGATGTCCAGTTTCTATCAGAAAAAGGAGTTTACAAACATGGCAAGGGAGAAGATAAACCTTATGATATTAGATTGGATTAGAGTAATTGGTTTGATATATACAGATACAGAAAGACATACATGTACCGTCATACACATATAACACATTTCCTATGCAGGTTCTAGTAGGAACTGGAAACAATGACACCTCAGTAGCAACAAGCATATGTAGCTCCCAGATTTGTTTTTTAAATAGCAATATCCACTAGAAGCAACTAGCCTTCTTTGAGGAACAGTTGGCTCCTCAGAGCCTTAGCATTGTGTGATCGGCTTAAATATCCCTTCTGCTTGTATCACCCTTACCTTAGTCCAGATCTTTATCACTTTCTCTAGGATTCCCTACGTAGCTCCTGACCTTGAGAACTCTAATCTCTGTCCCCTCTGTCTGATCTACTCACAACTGATATGAAGAGTATATGGCTTGTCTAGATGTCCCACCAAAGTCTCATGCAGTCATAAGTGGGGCTTTTTCAGAGGTACCTGGATCTAGAGTGTGTGACTCTGGGATTGATTCATGGTGCAATGCTAGGATCAAAAGCACGCGGATTAAAGGTACAAGCACTATCCATTCTAACTATCCTAGGTAAGATATAAGGGATAGAATATGTTGTGATCTTCCCTTGCTTGCTTTGCTACCTTCTGTCTGCCATGGACTATTTCTCCTCTGTCATGTCACCCTGCCTTGAAGACATCCAATTATTGACTTAACCTCTACAAACTAGTAGCTAAGTAAGCCTTTGCTTCTGTAACTGGGTGTTGGACTTTGTCCCAGCAACGAGAAAAGTAACTAAAACAGAGATCAATTAAAAACAAAAATCTAGCAGTGAAAATACAAGTATTTACTACATGAATTTTACTTTCAAAATGTTCTTTGAAATTTTTAATTACAAAATGAAGAAACACAAGTCTTCCTCTGATCAAGTGGTAGGTGTAAAAAGAAAACACTTTCCAGTTGTATAGCAAGCCTTATCTAATTATATAATTAAATGTTACAATTTATTATATATCAGTTATTCCTCAATTTAATGAAAAAAATTAAATTACAGAACAGTAAGTGGAAAACTAGAAATAAATCTACTCTTGCTTAAAATACTTCAAAGGCTCCCTCTCTGCCTCCAAGATAAACCTCAAACTCCTAACCGTGACACCAAGGAATCATGCCATTTCCCACAAATAGCCTCTTCTATATTCTTTCTTCATCCTCTAATATTCTCACCTTGTACAATTTCTTTGTCTTCAAGTTTTTCTTTACTCTGCTTTATCTTCATACCTTTATCTGTACCCTTTACAGACTTCTATCATAGCTTTCCAAGTTTTCGCAGTTTTTTAAAATTTCTATTAGGTTATAAACTTAAGTAAAGTTTTATGTTTTTCATGCAGTGCCTTGCATATTTCTTAGAATGTGGCAAACACTCAACAGTTACTGAATTAAAAAGAAGGAAATCTTTACACACATCTTTATACATATCACAATACCTAGTCTAAACCCCTTTGCAGAGTGGTGGTGAATACACACCTGCTCCAGGGGGAGGGGATATAGCTCAGCAGCACAAGCACTTGCCTGGCAAGTGCAAGGTCCTGACTTCAACTCCTAGTACTAACATAAATAAATAAATAAATAAATATCTGCTCCATTCCGGTTTACTGCCACTTCAAAGAGTCCTTAAGAAGTTTTCACTGCTTTATCACACACTATATTTTAACATATTCTAAAAAGACTTCAGTAAAGCAAAATATAGTGAAGGATTTTCCTTATTTCAATCTCCATTAAGTCTCCAAAAAAAGAAACAGAAATGAACAGAAGAAAGAATAGAGGGCAGAAGAAGTTTCTTTTATGAATGTTACCACCTAAGAAGAAATGAATCAGCAACAGTCCACATACTCGGGCTCAAGAATCAGATAGTTGGAGCAGCTATTAACTTCCAAGACAAATCAAAGTGTTCATTTCAATTCTCCAGCCCAATCCCAATAAATTTTTCACACACCCATACACACAGTCACTCACATCTATTCTATCCTAAAGGCAAAGTAATTTAGGGCTCAGTGGGAGAGCACCTGCCTAAGACCATGCCAGAGATCTTGGGTTCCATCCATCTCCAGCATGAAACAAAACAAATTTAGAACATAGGAGCTGTCATTTCCCCAGATGCCCTCAAATCTCAATTAGTTTTTTAAAAAAGGTCTTAGTTTCTGATTTGGTGTCAACAGTTACTTCAAGTGAATCTTGTAGGTTTTAGAAACTATTTCTCAAATCTTTACTGAGCAGCATACTGCATTTTGCTGAGCTGGCAAGGAATACAAGAACTAAAATTGTAGTGTTTGTAAGTCATATAGAAAGAGGCTAAAATCACGAGTAGTAAAACAACTCAGACAGTCTGGCAGGGATATACACTATCTGCTATGAAAAACTGTTCTTCAATCAGTTTGTTAAAGACCTGCAAAATTTTAAAATGCCCAATTCCTCCATAATTAGAAACTAAGATCCTTGTCCACTTAAATTTTTTTTTTTTTTTTTTTTTTTTTTTTGGTACCTAGAATAGAACTCAGTACCTTGCGTGTGCCAGGCTGTGTGGCTGAGCTAAATCTTCGGCCTCTAACCTTTTTTTTTTTTTTTTTTCCTACTGCTACTTTTTTTTTTTTTCCTACTGCTACTTTCTTTCTTAATTCGTTGACGTCTGAGTAAGTTAGTGGAGTCTCACACGATTGGACCCAAAATTCAAACGGTACAGTGACTTTCACATATGTTTGCTAAGAATCTAGCACTCTTTAGTTCATTCATTCATTCAATAAGTATTGACTAGAATGCGCCGGACATCGTGCCGAGCAAAATCAAAACCATCCATATAACCCCAATCAGTGTGCACTTTTCTTTCAATCTAATACTGCTGTCTACGTTCCACATAACCGTAAAGATTTGATGTGCGGTCTCTACAACAACTCAGGCTCAGAAACCAAAGGGACTGCAAGAAGATAAACATCCTCATTTTTCACATGGGGACAAGAAAGCCCCAAAGTGTCTTACTCAAGGTCACACCATGCAATAGTGACAGAGACTGTAACCCGCATATCCCGCAACTCCGTCAGTGTCCCACATGCTTCTTCTCCCTGAGAAGAAGGGGTTACAGATGGCGATAGAGAAATGGCAAGCGTCTTCCAATAAGGGTCCAATATCCCTCTCTCCTATAAAGAGGGAGAAGCCAAGCCAAACCAGGAGCAAGAAGAGGGAAGCTGCCTTAGTTTCCCCGCGGAAAGGCGGCCACGCAGCCAAGCGACCCCACAGGCGACCCTTTTGCATCTTCTTCCAGCTTCTCCCGCCCTGCCTTCTACAATTCCAACCCCGTCACTAGGCAGGAGACCATAGAAAATTACTCCTACACTCACAAGGACTCGTATCAGCAACGCCATGTTTCTCAACAACCATTTCCGGGTGAAGAGTGAGCTTCCGGAATCCCCGCGTCCACTACTCCTTCACTATACAGTGCTTTAATCGTGTGGAGCCTAGCAACCCCGGCGCAGGCGCACAGACACCCCTGTACGCCTGCGCTCGCGCGTCTCTGCGTCTGTGCGCGTGCGCAGGTCAAGCCGCACAGCCGTTCTACCTGCTGTTTTCCCCGCTGCGCGTCACAGTAGCTTAAAACGTCCACTGACTGCGGCTCTTCCCCGAGAGTCTCGTATCCTGTCTTTATCGTTTCCCTACCTGTCCTGACTTCTCAGCAACCTTTTGCTGGGGTCAGTCCTTTCCAGGCGAATCCCAATATTTAAAAAGAGCCTAAGAAGGAATTTGAGATAAAAATGTAAGCAGATTGCTGAGAGTTAAGGGAAGAAAGCAAGCACGTGCTGATTTAAAGCTTGAAAGAAGAAGGAACTCGGGGTTTGTGGTTGGGAAATTGTTTGGTTAATGGAAACTTCTTTGAATATTGTTGGGAAAGCATTCAGCAAAATTGAGGCTAATAGAAAGATGCCAGGAGTTTCCCAAGGAAGCGGCATTTTCTGAGAATGGCCTTGGCTAGAGAACCCTTCTTTGTATCCTAGAAGTAGAAGACAGAGGATATGAATGTCTCGCGGATTGATGGGGAGCTGAAGCCCAGGCTGTTTCAATTGCGTCAACAAAGATCCATCCAGTATTCCATAGGTACTAAATACAAGACAGATGTAAATACTGGCTTCATGGACTGGTAGAGGAAACTCAACCAGTGAAAAACTAAAAACTCTGTTAAGTGTTACGAAAGAAACAGCTAATGTAGAGAATAAAGTGTAGGACTTTTTTGGACTGTGTAGCCAAGTCAAGACTGTGTGAGGTGACATGTACGATGAGATCTAAAGGTTGAAAAGCAAATCGGGCTGTGGCTCACACTTGTAATCCCCGCACTCAGGAGGCTAAGGCAGAATTGTTGCAAATTTGAGACTGGGCTGGGCTACATAGTGAGTTCAAGGCTAGCCTGAACTACACAGCAAACCCTTGTCTCTAGAAAGGAAAGAAGAAATGTGCATACATTGCAGAATAGCTAAATCCAGCTAATGTATACATTACTTTTTTTTGTGATGAAACACTTAAAATCTACTTGCTGATTTTCAAGTGTTCAGTCTACAGGTATTACCTCTAGTCACCTAATTGAAATTTTGTATCCTTTAACGTCTCACTAGACTCCTTTCAATCTCCTGGTAATCACTATTTCACTTCCCAATTATTTATTTATTTTGGTGCCAGGGATTGAACTCACAACCTCGTGCTTGCTAGGCAAGCACTTATGCTACTGAGCTAAACCCTCCACTCTCAACTTCTGAAAGTTTAACTTTTCTGGATTTCACATACAGGTGAAGTGGTACAGTATCTCTCTCTTATGCCAGCTTATTTCACTTGGCATAACATCCTCCAGGTTCATCCATGTTGTCACAAATGACACAATTTCCTCTTTTTCAGGCTGAGTAGTATTTTAGTGTATGTGTAACCCACATTTTCTTTAATTTTTATTTCTTGGCTATTGTGAAATGATGCAACAGATACGGGAAAACAGCTGTCTTTTCAATATACTGATTTTATCTCTTGTAGATACATATCCAGTAGTGGGATAGCTACATTATGTGATAATTCTCTTTTTGAGAAACTTCCATATAGCTTTCCATAATGGCTCTACCAATTTACATTCTTACCCACAGAATGCAAATGATCTCGTTTTTTCCATCCCGATCAACACTTGTAATAACTGTTCTAACAGTTGTACTGTTCATTATGGTTTTAATTTGCATTTCCTTTATGATTAATGATAAGTATTTCTATATGCCTATTGGCCATTTGTATGTCTTCTCTGGAGAAATGTCTATTTTTGAAGATGTTGTTTCCATTTATGTTTGCTTCTGTTTTGTTTTGTGATATTGGGGCTTGGATACAGGGCCTCACACATGGTAGGCAAACACTGCTGCTGAGCTACATCCCCAGCCACCTTGGCCTTTTTATTTTTAGATGGTGGTGGTGGTACTGAGGAATGAACCTAGGGCTTTCACACTCATATACATCCCTAGTCCCTTTTTCTTATTTTTTACATTGGAACAGGGCATTGCTAAATTGTCCAGGCTGCATTAAAACTTGCAGTCCTCCTGCCTCAGTCTCCCAAAGTGTTAGAATTATAGCCATGCACCACCATACATAGCTTTTTGACCATTATTAAATCACATTAATTTTCTTGTTATTGAGTTATTTCAGATCCTAATGTAATTAGTATATTAACCATTTATCAGATGTATGATTTACAGATATTTTCTCCTATCCCACAGCTGGTCTCTTCACTCTGTTGACTGTTTCCTTTGCGGTGCAGAAGCTTTTTTAGTGTGATGTAATCCTGTGTGTCTGTTTTTGCTTTAGTTCTCTATGCTTTTAGAGTCATATCTAGAAAAATTTTTGCCCAGACTGATGTCATGGATCTCTCCCCCTAATTTTTAACCTAGTAGTTTTAAAGTTTCTGATGTGATATTTAAGTTACTTACATTTTATTTTTTTTTGAGACAGGCTCTCACCAGGTTACAGGCTGACCTTAAACTCATTATGTAGACCAAGGTGGCCTCAAACTCACAGTGATCCTTCTGCCTTAGCCTCTCGAGTGGTGGGATTACAACATATACCACAATGCCATCATTTAATATATTTTGAATTGACTTCTATATATGAGATTGGCATTTTCTTTTTATCGGTACTGGAGATCAAACTCACAACCACCTGCTTGCAAGGCAGGTGCTTATGCCACTGAGCTAAACCCCCTGCCCAAGATTGGCATTTTAATGTGAAATTGACATTTATATATGCATGGTGTTGTATATATGCATGTTTTTAATCTGGGGTTATGAGGAGAACAATTAGAATCAGGACATGGAATTTATATTATTTATGATGGTCACCCAGAGTTAACACAAGAAAGTTCAGGGAATCTATCTATAGCACTTAAATATTTAGACATAAAATATTTAGCCAAGGGCCTGGATCTCAGAACAATGTTCTACATGAGTCCAGATGAAAACCTAGAGCCCATGACATTGCCTCCCACCAGTTCAACTGGAGGTATAGACCCCACAAGAGGGACTCATGCCAGTTTCTTTTACGGATCTGTGCTAGGAAGACCTAAAGATCAGCAGTGGAAGCTAGAAAGTCTATTCTGTCGGAGTGAAGGAGCTGTGCTGGCAGGTTGACGGTTTTACGCTGGAGCCAAGAAGCCGTGCTCAAAACAAAGACCAGGGCGATCCTAAAAAACACCACAGCCATCCTCAGCAACATGGAGGCCCCAAGCTCCTCCTACGATAAGAACAGTCTTAATACATGCCAGGAAGCCAGTGTGAAGAGTTTGTCCTGGAGATTAATGGCACACGTCCTCCCCTCTGGAGCCAGGAGGTGATGCTTGAAGTAACCCCCAAAGTGAACCACAGCCACTCTCACCAACAAGGCCCTGAGCTTCTCTGATCACAATGGTCGAACTCATACTGGGAAAGCTAGTCATGGTGAGCTCCTCCAGGAGAACCAATGGCTCAAACAACACATAGGAGCCCACAACAAATACCTCAATGCCTCTCTTCTCCATATCTGTTTATGCTAACAACTTTCCTCAGGTGGAACATCTATGCTCAGTACCATCGTGATTTAATTCATCTGGCGTTAAGTTGACCACCAGTTTTTAATCTACAACACATGTAGATATCAGTTGCTCCATCATCGCTTATTGACTGGCTTCTTGTTTGTATACAGAATGTAAAGATGTTCCCTCATTCAGCTTCCATTTGAAAGCTTTCACAAGCCTAAGTGAAGACATTGTACACACAATTGGGTAGCTTATATCTGCATATTGGAAACCAGTGGTGAAGTGCTTCTGCATGTAAATTAGGATGAATTTTATCATATATTAAAATGGGAATAAAGAAATGTTCTGGTTAAATTTAAAAAGCAAATGTAACACAGAACTATAATCTTAGATTTTCATTGCTGTAATGAAATACCTGAAGGCAGTCTTAACTTTGCAAAGTAAGTTTATTTATCTCGTCATTTTGGAGCTGAAGGGCACGGCACTGGAATCTACTCTTCTAGTGAGGGCCCACTTGGTTTCGTCACATCATAGCAGATGGAAGTAATGGGAGCATATGCAAGGAGCGTGTGTGGGTGCCAGCAATCATATTGCCAGAAAGAAACCAGAGAAGGAAGTGAAGCCAGGCTCAAGCTTTTTAATAACACTCTTGTGAGAACTACCTTAATCTCTAACGATGCCACCCTTGACTGACCCAAGGACCTTCCACTAAACCCCACCTCACTTTTTTTTTTTTTTTTTTTGGTACTGGGGATCGAACTCACCACCTCATGCTTGCCAGATAGACACATCACTTATGCCACTGAGCTAACCTGAACCTCACATCTTAAAAGATTGTATATCATCTGCCAATAATGTTGCCCTGGGGACCAAGCTTCCAGCACATGAAATTTTGTGGCACACCCAAAAAGAGCATATGCAATTAAGAAATACAAGATGATGTATTAAAATGCTAGTGACGAGAAAATATTTCAGGAGAAAATTGATATGCCATTTACTCGAGAATGACCTATTTGTGAAGAATCTACTCAGAGGAATGCTAGTGTTATGTGATGTACATTAGAAGAGAGGAAAAAGTTTACAGTTTAACAGTGAAAGAAAAGAGCCCAGGGAAATAAAGATAACCTAGCTAAAGTTGGATACTCTTCCCTTTAAAATTTTTGTTGGCACATTGGTGATACATGTTGAATTCATTCATTTTGGGAGGCTGGTACATATACATGTTGCATCTTAATCCTTTTTACTTCCCCTGTGCTTTTCAGTTTTATTTTTTCTATATTGGAGATTGAACCCAGAGCTTTTACACTAAACTGGATCTCTAGCCCTTTTTTAAATTTCAAGACAGGGTCTTGCTAAGTTGCCCAGGCTGGGCTTGATCTTCTTGCCTCAGACTCCTAGTGTGCTGGAATTACAGGTTAATTTATTTTAAATTAGTAGGTGTTATGTGGTTACATGCTCTTTTTTAAAAACTGGTACTGTTGTGTTTTACCACCACTTTGAATCTCAGTGC